ATGAAGTGTTTTTATAAAAGCTTCATGTTTGTTTTTGTCGCTCTGAATCACCTTCTCTTGAGCTAAGTCACTCCCCCTTCAGAGCACATCAGGTTTGTCCATTTGCTGTGTTCAGTTTCGTGTCGTGTTTTCGTGGTTTTTGGCGTGTGGGGGGCGTGGGCTTGTGGGCGGAGCCTCGTACGGGTTTGAACAGGACCCAGTAGAGATCGCTAGATGATTCAGACATGCAGGGACGAGTGTAGAACGTCTTCAGGAAGATTTATGACGAGGAACGACGTCAGAACGTGACAGAACGAAAAGACGATTTTACAGAATTTCTCCTTTTTGATGTCACCAAAGTAAAATTTATGTTTTCAGAAAATGACTAAAATAAGAGTTAAACATTTTGAGAATTTCTACGTAAAGATTTGTGTTTGGGTTTTAGGGAAATACTGAAAAATAAATCCATTTGTTATAATAATTTAGTTTTTATCAGATTTTTCCACCTCTGAAAATGATGAAAGTTCAAATCAATAAAAACACAACTTTAAATTTCCCCAAAGTGTCAAAGTTGAAATATTCTTCTAAATAAAAGTTTAACCTTAATGTTCCACAGACGTGATTTTAAATAGAAAAATACGTCTTTAGTCGTTTAAACGTTTAACTGTGAGTAAATGTGATTGACAGCTGCCACAGCCAATCACAATGCAGGATTATTTTTCCAAAACATTTCACTCTGGACCTGAGATCAAACCAGAACTAAACCAGGACTAAACCAGAACTAAACCAGGACTAAACCAGGACTAAACCAGAAATAAACCAGGACTAAACCAGTACTAAACCAGAACTAAACCAGGACTAAACCAGGACTAAACCAGAACTAAACCAGGACTAAACCAGGACTAAACCAGAACAAAACCAGGTCTAAACCAGAACTAAACCAGGACTAAACCAGAACTAAACCAGGACTTAACCAGGACTAAACCAGGTCTAAACCAGGTCTAAACCAGGTCTAAACCAGGACTAAACCAGAACTAAACCAGAACTAAACCAGGTCTAAACCAGGTCTAAACCAGGACTAAACCAGAACTAAACCAGGACTTAACCAGGACTAAACCAGGTCTAAACCAGAACTAAACCAGGACTAAACCAGGAGTAAACCAGGACTAAACCAGAACTAAACCAGGACTAAACCAGGTCTAAACCAGGTCTAAACCAGGACTAAACCAGAACTAAACCAGGACTAAACCAGGACTAAATCAGAACTAAACCAGGACTAAACCAGGAACTAAACCAGAACTAAACCAAACTAAACCAGACTAAACCAGAACTAAACCAGGTCTAAACCAGTCTAAACCAGAACTAAACCAGAACTAAACCAGGACTAAACCAGAACTAAACCAGGTCTAAACCAGAACTAAACCAGGACTAAACCAGGACTAAATCAGAACTAAACCAGAACTAAACCAGGACTAAACCAGAACTAAACCAGAACTAAACCAGGACTAAACCAGAACTAAACCAGGTCTAAACCAGAACTAAACCAGAACTAAACCAGGACTAAACCAGGACTAAACCAGATCTAGACCAGGTCTAAACTCGGGCAGTGTTTGACAGGTTTGAGTTTTGTGACGTTGGTTCCAAATTGAAATGTTGGTTAAATTTAAAAATGTAAAATCTGTTTTTGGTGTAAAACTTTGTGGACGCGTCAGAATGTGGGAGCGTCTGCGGCTCCTGCAGCATCTGCGGCTCCTGCAGCATCTGCGGCTCCTGCAGCATCTGCGGCTCCGTCTGAGCCACATTATCATAAACTGTTTACAAATATTGGCCTGAAATATTCTGAAATCTCATTATTTCCATTAGAGGCGCAGCGATGAGCGGAGCTCGTGCGCCGCGCAGCCGAGCGGCCGTTTCCCGCGCGGCGCCTCATTCACGCAGGAGCCGCACAAAAGAGACACATTTGCTTCACAATTATCGGCGCCGCGGGAAAATAGCGGCTAATTAGTGCTTTGTGAGCGCGCGCAGTTCCGCTCGTCACAAAGAGGTTTTTCTCCCGGCCTTGTGCAGACCTCGGACATTCCACTTTCCCGTTTTTATTTAGTTTCGGTTTAAATTTGAGCAGATTTCTGAAAATGCTGCGGCACAAACTTGTTATTTCCTCAACAATCAAATGAAGCAGAAGAGGCCGCGATTGTGGCGTCGAGAGGCGCCGTAAAAACACGCGCGGCTCAAGGATCCTGTCATCACCTCCCAATAAAACTCACACAAAACACTGAAAATACACTTTTCCTTCACATTTGGTTTGGAGATTTAAAAATATATTTGTGTTTGTAACGTGTGGCTGTGTCCTTGTGCCGCACTTCAGGCTATTTCTGTTTCACTCCAGCGTTTTTCACACTTTTTAATTCCTCTGTTCTGCGCGCGCTCGGAGCCGACGAACCGTCAACGACTCCACAATTGAACCCGACGAGCCACGACGACGAGTCACGACGAGCCACGACGACGAGTCACGACGAGCCACGACGACGAGCCACGACGACGAGCCACGACGACGAGTCACGACGAGACGAGTGGAACACAACACGATAAATTCACCATTATGGTCATTTTTGCGATAAACTGTGATAAATATTCACAACAGTTTTTGGTGGATTTGAGTAAATGTGAAACAGCTTCAAACCAGGACTAAACCAGAACTAAACCAGGACTAAACCAGGTCTAAACCAGGACTAAACCAGGTCTAAAACAGGACTAAACCAGGAATAAACCAGGTCTAAACCAGGACTAAACCAGGTCTAAACCAGGACTAAACCAGGACTAAACCAGGTCTAAACCAGGAATAAACCAGGAATAAAACAGAACTAAAACAGAACTAAACCAGAACTAAACCAGGTCCTAAAAGAACTAAACCAGGACTAAACCAGGAACTAAAACTAAACCAGAACTAAACCAGGACTAAACCAGAACTAAACCAGGTCTAAAACAGAACTAAACCAGGACTAAACCAGGAATAAAACAGAACTAAACCAGAACTAAACCAGGTCTAAAACAGAACTAAACCAGGACTAAACCAGGTCTAAACCAGGACTAAACCAGGACTAAACCAGAACTAAACCAGGACTAAACCAGGACTAAACCAGGACTAAACCAGGTCTAAACCAGGACTAAACCAGGACTAAACCAGGACTAAACCAGGACTAAACCAGGACTAAACCAGGACTAAACCAGGACTAAACCAGGACTAAAACCAGGAATAAACCAGGACTAAACCAGGAATAAAACAGAACTAAACCAGAACTAAACCAGGTCTAAAACAGAACTAAACCAGGACTAAACTAGATCTAAACCAGGACTAAACCAGGTCTAAACCAGAACTAAACCAGGTCTAAACCAGGACTAAACCAGGACTAAACCAAGACTAAACCAGGTCTAAACCAGGTCTAAACCAGGACTAAACCAGGTCTAAACCAGGTCTAAACCAGGACTAAACCAGGACTAAACCAGGACTAAACCAGGTCTAAACCAAGACTAAACCAGGTCTAAACCAGGTCTAAACCAGGTCTAAACCAGTGTAAAACAAACTTCTCATGGCAACCCCCAAATAAAAAAAGAAAAAATATGGGGAAAAAAAAAACATTTAAATAGATTTTTGTGATAAATTGTGATAAATGTGTTTTTGTATTTCAGAATTGTGCGTTGGATTTGGTTAAACGTGCGACGGTTTCTGGGGTTTGTTGTTTTTGTTTGTCGTCGTGGCCTTGAGAAGAGGAAGAGGAAACGTGTGACCAAAATTTTAATTTCGTAAAAAACTGTTGACAGATTTTCTCAGTTTTTCTCTCTTCGTTTGGTGCAGTTCCCAAAAGAAAAGGAGTGAGGTGATTTTGTGGTGGATGTTTTGTGGCTCGGTGGAGTCGCCCTGTAACCCAGACGCTCAACGCTTCAGTCCGCTTCACTGACACACGTTCTGCTTCACTCGGGAAGGGCATCCGACACAAAAATCTGAGAAAAATGGAAAATGGGCCCTGGAAAAACCTGTAAATTTGGTTGGGTTCAAATTTGAATTTTAACATTTGCAATAAATACATTCAGAATTATCTCGCAAATTTGAGTGAATTCCAGGGTATATCATTTTATTAAATTTTTTTAGATTTAAAATTTTTTTTTATCAAATCCATTTTCAATTGTAATTTTTTTTTTTTTTTTTTTTTTTTTTTTTGAGAATTTTGATCAAACTGAATATTTTTTGAGAGCCTAAAATCAAAATGTCGGAAGAAAATTTGAGGATTTTGAAATTATTGGTCAAATTTGTGCTTTGTCCAAAACCAAATTATTAAAAAAAAAAAAACAACATCTTTTGAGTGAGTCTTTTTTCAAACCAGAGGACTGTCTGTGTCTAAAGAAAATAATAACAGCTTTTTTATATTTTAAAATTATTTTCAACTAAACAAGTTACTACTGGGTGAATATTTTGTGTTTTTACGTTTTCAGAGGTGGAAGATCTCAGTCGGTTTAAAGAAATTGTACTTTTTCAGCAGAATACTTTTCCTCCTACTTGAGTAATATTTTTAGTTGACGTGTCGGTGCACATACTCGAGTAAAAGTAAAGTGTCGTCTGTTCCTCGTTCGCTCGTCTTTATTTTTCTTGAATCTGAATCTGGTTTTGGATGATTTTTACTGATTGTGAATTTGTGGAAATGTAAAACCCCAAAATTCCCAAACTTTTTATGATTTTGGTTTGATTTTCAGGTGATTTCCCGTTGGGCGGCGCAGACGGGCGTCTCCGTGGCGACTGGGCAGAGCGGGTCTGTGGAGCGGCGAGCGCGGTCGGTTTAAACGACTTTGAGTTTGAGTTTCCTCGGACAGTTTCAGTTCCACAGCAGAACAGACACAGACACAAGAACATGAAGAGAACCCCCCTCCTCCCCGAGTCCAGTCCTCCAGGTCCACGGCCCCGGGTCAGACCGGGCTCAGGTCCTGGGTGGGGCTCAGGTCCTGGTTGGGGCTCAGGTCCTGGGTCGGGGTCAGTCCAGCCCCTTCTTGTCGGCGTCCTTCCCCGTCCCTCTGGAGTACGGCTCAAACGCAGACGAGCTCAGGTAACGCGCCGACAGCTCGTGGAGGTTTCCCGCCAAAGACAGAGGGGCGGAGATCCGAGAGGCCACGCCCCCCAGCAGCGAGGGCACGGGGAAACCGAACAGGCCGTGCGCCGCGGGCGGAGCCGAGGCGGAGGCCGGCCGCGGGGGACTGCCCCCCGCCGGAGAGTTAGAGCCGGCGTGGAGCGAGAGCGAGTGCTGCCTCAGCGCCGAGCCCACGGACGAGGCCCCGCAGTGGGGCAGCAGGGCCGGGGTCAGGCCCGGGGTCAGGCCCGGGGTCAGGGCCGGGGTCAGTCCCGGGGTCAGCAGACGGCCCTGCTCCAGCAGACGCAGGACGCTGCAGGTCGCCGCCGTCTCCGACACCGACCTGAGCTCCGAGTCCTTCCCCTGGTCCTTCTTCTGCTTCGTCCGACGATTCTGGAACCAAACCTTCACCTGAACAAACACGACGGGAAACGTCAGTGTGTCTGACGCAGGAAGTCAGCAAAAACACAGGAAATAACATCAGCCACCTCATGACATCATCAGGTGGTGCTCCTCAAGTGCTCCTGTGTTTTTAAAGCCCACCCACCTTCAGAACACTCACTCCAGTCATCTCAGGTCCCCTCAGAAACCAGGACTGAAACCAGTGTGTTCCGGCCTAAACCTGGTCTAAACTGGCCTAATCTGGTCTAAACCTGGTCTAATCTGGTCTAAACCTGGTCTAAACCCGGTCTAATCTGGTCTAAACTGGTCTAAACCTGGTCTAATCTGGTCTAAACCTGGTCTACACCTGGTCTAAACTCATTCTAACCCTAGACCAAGACTAACCCCGGCCTGTGTCCTGTGGTCTGACCTGGGTCTCGGACAGGTTGAGTTGGCGGGCGAGCTCCGTTCGCTCTCGTCCCACCACGTACTGACACCTCTGGAACTCCATCTCCAGACGGTAGAGCTGCTCCGCCGTGAACGACGTCCGAGTCCGTTTAGGCCGGTCCAGGTCCAGGCCTTTGGGCAGGATTATCTCCCGGATCGAGCCCTTCGCATCTGAAAAACCACAAGAGTCAGACAGGAGGAGGAGAGGAGTGAACGAGAGGAGGATCAGAGGAGGAGCTGAAGTTTGAGGAGGTCTGATGATTCCCCGGCAGCTCAGGGAGTTTCTCTTTTGGTTTCATGGTCGTTTGTATTTAAATTATGCGCATAAATTAGAGGTATTTGTCAAAACAAGGCCAGAGCCGCCGTGAAGGAGAAGCCGCTCAAACGCCGCTCAAACCGTCACAGCAGAGAAAACTGGTTAAAACTCATTAGATCAAGACTAACAGAGGTGCATGATGGAAGAACAAGACCTGGTCTGGTCCTGGTTCAGTCCTGGTCTGGTCCTGGTCTGGTCCTGGTCTGGTCCTGGTCTGGTTCTGGTTCAGTTCTGGTCTGTGGTTCTGTTCGTCCAGTTGGGGGCAGCACATCAAACAAACTTCAGAAATATTTTTTGTAAATGTTTGTGTTGTTCAGTTGAAAATGAAAATCTGAAGCCCGAGTTGATGTGAGATGTGAACAGGTGCGACAGGTGCCGACAGGTGCCGACGACAGGTGCTGACAGGTGCACTGACAGGTGCTGACAGGTACTGACAGGTGCTGACAGGTGCCGACAGGTGCCGACAGGTGTGACAGGTGCTGACAGGTACTGACTGACTGACAGGTGCTGACAGGTGCTGACAGGTGCTGACAGGTGCTGACAGGTACTGACAGGTGCCGACAGGTGCGACATGTGTTTAAAGTGTGAGTGAGTTTGAGTTTGGGCTGATGGAGTTTATGTCGATCACACGAGAAACTTCAACTCACTTTAGAGTTAAAACATTAGAGTTTATATATAAGAGTTAAAACATTAGAGTTTATATATAAGAGTTAAAACATTAGAGTTTATATATAAGAGTTAAAACATTAGAGTTAATAAACAAGTGTTAAAACACTAGAGTCACTTCTCTAGAGTTAATACATCTCACTTTAGCCTCACAGCTGCAACCTGGTTCAGTATAATGTTTTTCTAAGTCCTGGTTTAGTCCTGGTTTAGACCTGGTTTAGTCCTGGTTAGTCCTGGTTAGTCCTGGTTTAGTCCTGGTTTAGTCCTGGTTTAGTTAGTCCTGGTTAGTCCTGGTTTAGTCCTGGTTTAGTCCTGGTTTAGTCCTGTTTAGTCTGGTTTAGACCTGGTTTAGTCCTGGTAGTCTGGTTTAGTCCTGGTTTAGTCCTGGTTTAGTCCTGGTTTAGTCCTGGTTTAGTCCTGGTTCAGTCCTGGTTTAGTCTGGTTTAGTCCTGGTTTTAGTCCTGGTTTAGTCCTGGTTCAGTCCTGGTTTAGTCCTGGTTTAGTCCTGGTTTAGTCCTGGTTTTAGTCCTGGTTTAGTCCTGGTTTAGTCCTGGTTTAGTCCTGGTTTAGTCCTGGTTTCAGTCCTGGTTTAGTCTGGTTTAGTCTGGTTCTGGTTTAGTCCTGGTTCAGTCCTGGTTTAGTCCTGGTTTAGTCCTGGTTTAGTCCTGGTTTAGTCCTGGTTAGTCCTGGTTTAGTCTGGTTAGTCCTGGTTTAGTCCTGGTTTAGTCCTGGTTTAGTCCTGGTTTAGTCCTGGTTTAGTCCTGGTTTAGTCAGTCCTGGTTTAGTCTGGTTTAGTCTGGTTTAGTCTGTTTAGTTTAGTCCTGGTTTAGTCCTGGTTCAGTCCTGGTTTAGTCCTGGTTTAGTCCTGGTTCAGTCCGGTCTCTGGTGTGTGGTTTAGTCCTGGTTTAGTCCTGGTTTAGTCCTGGTTCAGTCCGGTCTCTGGTGTGTGGTTTAGTCCTGGTTTAGTCCTGGTTTAGTTCTGGTTTAGTCTGGTTTAGTCTGGTTTAGTCCTGGTTAGTCCTGGTTTAGTCCTGGTTTAGTCCTGGTTAGTCCTGGTTTAGTCCTGGTTTAGTCCTGGTTTAGTCCTGGTTCAGTCCTGGTTTAGTCCTGGTTTAGTCCTGGTTTAGTCCTGGTTTAGTCCTGGTTTAGTCCTGGTTTAGTCCTGGTTCAGTCCTGGTTTAGTCCTGGTTTAGTCCTGGTTTAGTCCTGGTTTAGTCCTGGTTTCAGTCCTGGTTTAGTCCTGGTTTAGTCCTGGTTTAGTCCTGGTTTAGTCCTGGTTTAGTCCTGGTTCAGTCCTGGTTTAGTCCTGGTTTCAGTCCTGGTTTAGTCCTGGTTTAGTCCTGGTTTAGTCCTGGTTTAGTTCTGGTTCAGTCTTGGCTTGAGTTCAGAGTTTCTTGGTGAGACGCTGCAGTTCTGGTTTTTCCAACATCTTCACCACACGAGATATTTATTTATTTTTAATCATAATTTGATTTAATTTAATTTCATTTCATATTTAACCCCCAGAATCTTAAACCCTCAGATTTGTCGTCTCGTTCCTCGTTTGTGTCGGACTAAACGTTTTGATCAGGAGTTGGAGAAGAATAAAGAGTAAAAGTGTCACTGGTGCTGGGGTCTGTGCGACGGTGAAGGTCGAAATGATTCAAACAAATATTCAATTCAAAATATTTAGATTTTAATAAACGAGACGCTCGGGGGGAATTATTCTACAGCAAATACTGAAATTTAATTATTTCCAGAGATTATTTTTGAGTCAGAGCCGATGAGGCCGAGTTTATCTCCGACTCTGCAGATTTTACAGACAGAAACGACGATCGCGTCACATTTTCTACAAACGTCTCGTTTAATCTGAACCAAATTTCACTTTTTTTATTTTTTTTTATTTTCTGTAAAATTGTAGGGTTTAGTTTTTCTAAATGTGTCAGATTGTTCCTGAATTTTCTGAGGTCAAATGTTGTTGTTTTTGTACGTGAATAAGTCAATAACACTAGAGTTAAAACACTAGAGTTAAAACACTAGAGACTAGAGTTAAAACACTAGAGTTAAAACACTAGAGTTAAAACACTAGAGTTAAAACTCCAGGTCATTGTTCTGTGGATTTTCTCTCCATAAATATTTCACAAACCTGAACTTTTGCAGCTGTTTTAAAATTTCAGTTTTTATTTTAATTATAAACCTGGATTTAATCATCATGATTATTTTGCTCTCACATGTTTTGTCTCTGAGTTTCAGATCGATGACTCTGTTGTCATGGTGATTAACAATTAAAAACAGGAGGTGATGTTTTTTGGACAAGCAGACGTCCTGGAAACGTCCTGGAAACGTCCTGGAAACATCCTGGAGACGTCCTGGAGACGTCCTGGAGATTTTTCCTGGAGATTTTTCCTGGAGATGTTTCCTGCAGCGAGAGGCTCTGAAGGCCTCAGCCTCTCGCTGCTCTGAGATTCTCTCTCAAACCTCGACTATTGTGTTAAATGTTTTTGGATTGAAATGAAAAATGTAAAGTTTTAAATTAAATTGTGCGTAAACGTTTGTGACGTGTGTTTGTGTTTTTCTGTGTTTCAAGGTGAAAGTGAAACGAGCTCTGACCTCGGACCAGGATGCGGCGGCAGTATTCAGGATCCACAGAGCCGCTGGTGTTCAGCCCGCGCTCCCGGTCCAGACCCGAGTCCAGACCCGAGTCCAGACCCGAGTCCAGACCGGGATCCAGACCGGGACTCTTCAGGGCCGGGTTCTTGGTCGGGTCTTTGGACTTGGACTTGAGCAGAACCGGGTCGAGATCCGAGCTGAACCTCATCTCCATCGTGTAAGACGTTCACCTCCAAAACCAGTCCCAGAAACTGAAGCTTTGAAATCCACTTTTTCAGTGAATTTGTCAAAACATTTGTGATTTTAAAGTGTCTCGTTTTTCTGAGGAAACGTCAGGGAAAAATCTTCTGCTTGTCATTTACAAAACACCGGTGGGATTCCAGATTCTCATTTAAAAAAACATCATTTCAAGCCACAAAAAATCCCTTTTTTGGGCCAAACTGCGACAAACTCGTCCACTTTAATTTCAGGTTTTAATTTCAAAACAAAAACAGATTTAAAATGTGAACTTTTGTCCTGGGTTTGAGTTTTGTCGGGCTTTAAAGTGAAGCCTTCCTGAGTTCCAGAGCTACAGATGGATCTAGTTTAGACCTGGTTTAGACCTGGTTTAGTCCCGGTTCAAGCCTCGTTTAGTCCTGAGTCTTTTGTCCTGATCCAGAATTCCGTTTGGACTTTTGTTGCTCCTCGGATTTCGTCAGGATTTTCTGGTTTTGTCGTGATTTAGACCTGGTTTAGTCCTGGTTTAGTCCTGGTTCAGACCTGGTTTAGACCTGGTTTTGTCCTGAGTCTTTTGTCCTGATCCAGATTTCCGTTTGGACTTTTGTTGCTCCTCAGGTTTCGTCAGGATTTTGAGGCTTGTTCCTGTTTAATTTTCAGTTCTTTTTTCACACGAGACAAAAACAGATTTAAAATCATCAGGAAACTCGTCTCAAATCACTTTTACCTTTTTTAAATCCACATTTTAGATTTTTTTGCAAATTGTCAAATTCCACTTTTCCATAAATTGTTTAAATTTTTTAACATTTGCTCTTTTCTGATCGTGAGTTCTGTTGCTTTTGTCCTTGTTTTATTTAAAAAACTAAAACAGATTCATCATTTCCAAGCAGATTTTCCAAACTTTCAAATCTTTTCCCACTAGAAAAAAATCACAATTGTCTAAAAAAAAATTGGAATTCTGTTTTTCCGTAAGATTCTTTCTCCAGACCTTCATTAGTTTGACAGTTTAATTGTCGAACATTTTCCAGACACAAGAAACAAAATTCCAAACGGGAAAAGTCTTTATTCATTGGACCTGAGCCGTGCGTCCGTCCTTTTGGTTTTCCGGTCACGTTCTCAGGTTTTAACGAGCTCCATGTTCCCACACGCTGCCGCTTTTCACAATCACATTTTAGATTTCAACTTCACAAATCCTGAACTGTTCTCACATCTTTGGCAAAACAAAACATTAAGAAATCTGAATAAATTTAAACGTGTCTGGATTCAAAAACAAAAAGTCTGGGAATTTTCTGGGAGTTTTGTTGCTTTTTTAAAAATCCTGTTTCTCTTTCAGTTTCCTCCGTTTGCTCCCAAATCCAAAATTCTCCCAATGTCAAAACGAAAACTGTTCAAATATAGTTTCAAAATTGTTACGCAGCAGTGGATGATTGAAATTCTTCTGCACGTTCCGGCTTCAAACGTGGATCATTCACAAAGAAATTCCGGCTCCTGCTTTGAAAATAAGTGAAATTTTGTACTTTTAAAAATCCATACAGTGTTTAGAATCTTAAGTTTGTTTTATTTCACTTGAGTAATTGTAGCTTTCAGGTTGAATAAATGTAATAATTGCCTTGTTTTGATCCGTACGTCAGCAACTTGTCCCAAAAAATCTCCAAAAAAACGTAAATCTTTTTCAAAATTAAACCGGAAAATTCTTCAAATGTGAAAAAATCTAAAAATTGTCTTAAAATCTGTTTTTCGGAATTCTAAAATCTGCGCAGGTTCAGTCTGGTGCCTCAGCCTGTTGTCGTCCTCTTCTCTTCTCGTCCTCGTCTCCGTGTCTTCGTTTTTATTTTTCCAGCTCGGTTTTTGTCCAAAAGTTGGTCCAAAGTGTTGAGAAGTCGTCACGCTGCCTCCTCCCTGATCCGGGATCCGTCTCCTCGCCTCCGCTCCTGGTTTTCCGGCGTAAATCCGCAGAGTTTTCCGTGCGGGTCGGAGAGTTTGGAGCGTGCGTGATGTTTCTCCGCAGGTTCAGTCTCGTCTGAGTCTGAGCAGATCTGATCTTCACACAGAACCAAACCTCCAACCCTCCTCACTCGACTTCACCACAGCTTCACCCAAACCCGACCATTTCACTTTCATCTCTATTTCTAGGCTTTTTTCTTTGTTTTCTTCTTTTATATAAATTTCTGAAATAATGTTGTTCTGTTTTTTCCACTTTTTAGCACAAACGTTTATCCATTTCTTCATGATTTTCACTTTAATCTCAATTTCTACGTTTTTTCCCGTTTTTGTTTTGTTCTTTTATACAAATTTCTGAAATAATTTTGTATTTTTTCCAGATTTTAATCCTGCTTCTCCTTTTGAACGACACATAGATTAAATAACTTCACTTTTTAGCACAAACGTTGCTTCATTTCTTTAGTTTCATTCATGATTTTTAATCTCAATTTCTTCATTTGTTTTTTCTTTTGTTTTGTTCGTTTATGCAAATTTTTGAAATAATTTTGTGTTTTTTTTTTCCAGACTTTAGTCCCACTTCTCCTTTTGAATAAAACACAAAAAATGTTGGTGCATCTTTTTACTCACAACTTGTTTTTTATATTTAGAATGTTTTGTTATTTTTCCACAAATTTCTGAAATAATTTTTTTGTTTTTCCAGATTTTAGTCCCACTTCTTCTTTTGACCAATACACAATTTTTATTTTTATTTTTTTAACTTTTTACCAAAAACAGATTTATTGCTCACAATTTTCACTTATTTTTAAATTTTTACAAGATTTTTATTTTTGTGCCAATCTTTTCCATTAATGTGAAATAACGTTGTATTTTATCCAGACTTCTCCTTTTGGACAAAGCACAAACATGAAGTTTTATTTTAAAAATTTCCACTTTACTGTCAGTTCGTCCCTTATTATTTAGATTTTTTTTTTTTTTTTACAAATTTCAGATTATATTTTCGTTTTTCAGCTCAGACTTCGTCCTGCTCCTCGTTTTTAACACAAACATGGATCAGTTTCACGTTACAAGAACTGAATTCAAATTTCAATTTAAATTCTTACATTTTTGTCTGAAATGATTTAAAATTCTGCTTTTGAAGGACGCACAGATCTGACTCACACTCGTCTCTCTTTATACTTTACATTTTTACAAACAGAATTTCATGACGTGATTCAAACTTTGCATTTTTATCCAGTTTTTTTTTTTCAACAATTATGATTATTTTTCTTTTTATTGTTTAAAATTTTCACATTTAAGTACAATTCTAGTTTTTTGTTTCAGATTTTCACGCTTTAAAGATGGAGTTAAATGTAAATGTTTATTTCTTTACAGACAAACATTTGCTATTTTAATTTTTGGAATTTTGGAGTTTAAAATTACAAATATTTATCTTATAATTTTCAGTTTTTACACCTCGTCAAAAAGATTCAACGCAGAGAGACGTTTGAAAACACTCACACTGTCGGAGGTTTTTCTATTTTAACGTCACTTTTTTTTTTGTAAATACAGATTTTTATTTATTTTTTTTATAATTATCTGAAATTTGACCACGTTTCTCCGCAGACTCAGACTCTGCTCCGTTTGGACGACGCTCAGATTTTCTCAAAGTGAAGCTCTGGTTTTTCTCAGTTAATTTTTAACACACTATTTATTTTAAAATTTTCTGAATTTAGTAATTTTCTCAGCAATTTAAAACCGTTTATGTATTTTATTTTATTTTTTTCAGATTAAAAAAATATATATTTTATTGTTTTTAAATTCTAATTCTTACCGTTTTATTCTGATCTGTGAAACATTAAATGTTTTTCGGCAAATTTGTTTTATTTTAATTTTAACAATTCTGACAGTTTTCTTTTTAAAATTCTTTTGGAAATAATTTGTAAATTTCCCTCATAAAAAACTGGAGTTAAAAAGTTAAACCAAACTGTCGTATTTTCACACCAAAATGTTCATTTGCTTCTTGAAAAACACTTTGCCGTTTCCTGATCTGCCCTTTGTCCTTTCAGAGTCTCTGGAGAAATAAAAACATTTCAAAAACCTTCAAAAATAAAAATCTGAAAAGTTCCACATTTCTGCTGCAGTTTCTCGGTGTCGTCCCGACGGCGTCGACGAAGTTTTCCACAAAAACACAAAACGGTTTGGTTCAAAAATGAGTTTGAAAAGAGACGAGAGAAAGAAAAAAGAAGAAGAAGCAGAACAAGTGTGAACGAGACGAACGAGTGAAGAGTCTGAGAAGGAAACGACACTCGACAGGAATCTGCTGCGGCCGCCGCACAAAAGGAAGGAGGAGACAAGGAGCTAGGAGACAAGAGAGAGACAAGAGAGGAGGAGACGAGGAGCTAGGAGACAAGAGAGACAAGAGAGGAGGAGACGAGGAGCTAGGAGACAAGACAGACAAGAGAGGAGGAGACGAGGAGCTAGGAGACAAGACAGACAAGAGAGGAGGAGACGAGGAGCTAGGAGACAAGAGAGACAAGAGAGAGGAGAGACGAGGAGCTAGGAGACAAGAGAGACAAGAGAGGAGGAGACGAGAGAGCTAGGAGACAAGAGAGGAGGAGACGAGAAGCTAGGAGACAAGAGAGGAGGAGACGAGGATTTAGGAGACGAGAGAGACAAGAGAGGAGGAGACGAGGAGCTAGGAGACAAGAGAGACAAGAGAGGAGGAGACGAGGAGCTAGGAGACAAGAGAGGAGGAGACGAGAAGCTAGGAGACAAGAGAGGAGGAGACGAGGAGCTAGGAGACAAGAGAGGAGGAGACGAGGAACTAGGAGACAAGAGAGGAGGAGACGAGGATTTAGGAGACGAGGGAGACAAGAGAGGAGGAGACGAGGAGCTAGGAGACAAGAGAGGAGGAGACGAGGATTTAGGAGACGAGGGAGACAAGAGGAATTTAATTTTAATTTCTTTATTTCACAAATATTTAGAGTGAAGAAAATTTAATAACCCCGAGCAGAACACCTGGTCCAAGACAGACCTGGTCCAGACCTGGTCCAGTCCTGGTCCAGACCTGGTCCAGACCTGGTCCCTGGTCCAGACCTGGTCCAGTCCAGTCCTGGTCCAGACCTGGTCCAGACCTGGTCCAGACCTGTCCAGTCCTGGTTCTGATCCTTTGAGTCCTCGTGTCTGGTCCCTCCCAAAAACATGTCCCTGTCTGACCTTTCACCTCTGACCCCAGTCCCCCAAACCAGGACTAAACCAGAACTAAACCAGAACTAAACCAGGTCTAAACCAGGTCTAAACCAGGTCTAAACCAGGTCTAAACCAGGACTAAACCAGAACTAAACCAGGTCTAAACCAGAACTAAACCAGGTCTAAACCAGGACTAAACCAGAACTAAACCAGGTCTAAACCAGGACTAAACCAGAACTAAACCAGGACTAAAACAGGACTAAAACAGGACCAAACCTGGACTAAACCAGGACTAAATGAGGCTGGTTCAGGTGCAGAGTTTTTATGTTTGTGGGAAATGATTCTTCAAGTTTTAAAATTTTTGAATTTTAGACAAAAAATATGAAATGAACTTGAGATTAAACTGACAGAAACCAGGACTAAACCTGGACTAAACCTGGACTAAACCCAGTCTAGCCCAGGACCAGTGAGTCCCGGTTGGTCCCGGTTGGTCCTGGTTAGTCCCTGGTTGGTCCTGGTTGGTCCCGGTTGGTCCCCGGTTGGTCCTGGTTGGTCCCCGGGTCTCTGCGTGAGTCCCGGTTGGTCCTGGTTGGTCCCTGGTTGGTCCTGGTTGGTCCTGGTTGGTCCTGGTTGGTCCTGGTTTGGTCCCTGGTTGGTCCCTGGTTGGTTGGTCCCGTTGGTTGGTTGGTCCTGGTTGGTCCCGGTTGGTCCTGGTTTGGTCCTGGTTGGTCCTGGTTGGTCCGTTGGTTGGTCCTGGTTGGTCCTGGTTTGGTCCTGGTTGGTCCTGGTTGGTCCTGGTTGGTCCTGGTTGGTCCTGGTCCTGGTTGGTCCTGGTTGGTCCTGGTTGGTCCTGGTTGGTCCTGGTTGGTTGGTCCCTGGTTGGTCCTGGTTGGTCCTGGTTGGTCCTGGTTGGTCCTGGTTGGTTGGTCCTGGTTGGTCCTGGTTGGTCCTGGTTGGTCCTGGTTGGTCCTGGTTGGTTGGTCCTGGTTGGTCCCGGTTGGTCCTTGGGTTGGTCCTGTTGGTCCTGGTTGGTCCTGGTTGGTCCTGGTTGGTCCTGGTTGGTCCCGGTTGGTCCTGGTTGGTCCTGGTTGGTCCTGGTTGGTCCTGGTTGGTTGGTCCTGGTTGGTCCCGGGTCTCTGCGTGAGTCGCTCTTGGTCCTAATTGTCGTCACGTTAATCCAATCATCCGTCCATTACTCGGACAAAAGGCCAAACGCTCCAGCGCCTCCGAACAAAAGACCCACAGAGACGCCCAAGACCCAAGACCAAAAGACTCAAAAAGACCCACAAGACCCCCCCGAGACAGACCAGGGACCAGACCAGAGACCAGAGACCAGAGACCAGACCAGAGACCAGACCAGACCAGAGACCAGACCAGGATCCAGTCCAGACTCTGTGTTTTCCTCCAGATTCAGATCTGTGTTTTTGTCACAAAATGAAACTTAAACAGGAGGAAAGGAGGGGAGGATGGGAGGGGGGGAGGAGGGGGGGAGGAGGGGGGAGGAGGGGGAGGATGGAGGGAGGAGGGGGGAGGAGGGGGGAGGAGGGGGGAGGGGGGAGGGGGGAGGAGGGGGAGGAGGATGGGGGAGGAGGGGGGGGAGGATGGGGGAGGAGGGGGGCTTCTCGTCGTTCCTCAACATGAAGCAGCAGCGACGTAAACAAAGCCCCTGATTGGTCAGATGTGATGATGTCACAGGTTCAAGGTGAGAGAGAAAAGAAACAAACACAAGAAGAAGAAGAAGAAGAAGCAGGTGAAGGTTATAAACCTTATATTTTTCAAATATATAAAAACAGTTTTATTCGGTTAAAAATCATCTTCAAAGTTCAAAGTTTCAGACAGAGTTCAGTCAGCAGCAGCAGCAAAACCTGAACATGATGTGAACGACGACGCGAGCAGACGGAGCCTCTGAGCGTCACGAACGTCACGAACGCCGCGAACGCCGCGAACGCCGCGAACGTCGCGAACGCGAACGTCACGATCGTCACGAACGTCACGAACGCCACGAACGCCACGATCGTCACGATCGGTACGAACGTCACGAACGTCACGAACGTCACGAACGTCACAATCGCCACGATCATGACGATCGTCACGAACATCACGAACGTCACGAACGCCACGAACGCGAACGTCACGAATGCCACGAACGTCATGAACGTCACGAACGCCACGAACATCACGAACGCCACAATCGCCACGATCGTCACGAACGTCACGAACGCCACGAACGCCACGAACACCACGAACATCACGAATGCCACGATCGTCACGATCGTCACGATCGTCACGAACGTCACGAACGTCATGAACATCACGAATGCCACGATCGTCACGATCGTCATGAACATCACGAATGCCACGAACACGCGAACGTCACGAACGCACGATCGCACGAACGTCACGAACGTCACGAACGAACGAACGTCACGAACGTCACGAACGCCACGACGTCACGATCGTCACGATCGTCACGAATCGCGAACACGAACGAACGTCACGAACCACAACGAACGTCACGAACGCCACGAACGTCACGAACGCCACGAACATCACGAACGCCCACACGATCGTCACGATCGTCGTCACGATCGTCACGATCGTCACGATCGTCACGAACGTCACGAACGTCGTCACGAACGAACGTCACGAACGTCACGAACGTCACGAACGCCACGAACGTCACGAACGTCACGAACGTCACGAACGTCACGAACGTCACGATCGTCACGTCAACGTCACGAACGCGTCACGAACGCCACGAACTTCACGAACGCCAACGATCGTCACGATCGTCACGAAACCACGACACGTCACGAACGTCACGAACGCCACTCAGACGGCCCACTTACTACATCACATCGTCACTCACACGCGCACGTCACGAACGTCCACGCCAACTGCGAGACTCGCTTCTCCGCTTTCCCCGCGCACACAACACTCCGTCGAGTATCTCTGCCTGATTAGCGATGGACAGTTTTCAGCGAGTAGCGTTCTTCACGCTAGGACTACCGATCCCTAGCAACCATAGCCTAACTTCTTAAAAGAAAAATATTATTATAATTTATTTAAAGAATACATCCCTTGCATCACTAGATACATTTTGGTTTACATATGTATAATAATTGTGTAGAATCAGAAAAATAGAAACAAAAATACATACATTATTTGCACTAAAAATATATTATATACTAAAGAGGAAGTGAATTTTGGTTTTGGTGGATCGTGTCGAGCACATGTCCATCCTTTTATTAGTTCTCCCTTCCACACGGCACATTCTGTAGAAATCCAATCCTTGCAATTTTTAAAAATGTAATTGTTGAATCTGAGGAAGATGTATAATCCAGGGGCAGGAAGAGTGTGCTAAATCACCCAGCACTTTACTAAGTTGAAGTGAAGGCCAAGCAGACAGTTGGTTCTATAGTAGTGACTCTGTATAGACAGAACTGAAGCAGCAGTTTACACTGTTGCTGTTGTGAGTGTGACTTTTGGATTCTGTTTAAACTCTCACTCTCACTCTCATTTGTAAAACAAATGTCCAGTGAATCTAATAACTCTTACTTTTATTTAGACCTATACATTTGAGAAAATTTGAGTTTGCTTTAATGTAATTTGTTAAAACGCACATTTATTAAAAGTGTTTGTTAAAACAACTTTTCCACAATATGTCAAAAGAATGATTAATGATTAAGAATGATTAGAAAAGATTAAGATGGCCAAATAAAGTGATACATTGTCAACATAACCTTTTAAAGATGACCAACATTGGAAAGTTAATGATTATTATTCATTTTGTTTCCAGCTGTTTGACACAGACGAGGATGAGAAAATCACTCATGAGGAGTTCACTGCTCTTCTGCGCTCTGCTCTGGGTGTGTCCAGTCTCAACATGACCAAGCTCTTCAAGGAGATTGATGCAGACGGTTCTGGCTTTATCACATTCAGTCAGTATTAGCCTTGCACAATATTTATCAGAGATTTAAAATTTTATCCACACATTTTAATTTTATTTTTTATATATATTAGGTGAATTCCAAGCCTTTGCACTGAGACACCCAGAGTATGCCAAACTCTTTACTACGTACTTGGAGCTTCAGAGATACCAGGCCATTCAGGAAGCCTCACCTGGGGATCTGGAACTGAGCGGTCACGGCATTTCAGAGATGGAGGACAGTATCTCAGACAAGAAAGATGACTGACAACTTGGAGTGAGGAGTGACAAGGGTAACACTCATCTCAGAAATCTCAATAGTGTTTTTTTTTTTTTTTTGACTCCAACCAAATTAATTATGTTGTTCACAACACATTTGCTATTAAGATCCTTCACCACATTGGCAGGACCAATTTAAGAAGTTTTATCATAATGTTTTTATTATTTTATTAACAAAAAATGGGCAATATCTGTACACTGGGATTATATTTTAATACATAATCTCTGTAGAATATAGACAAAAAAGTGGACAATGTTCTTATTACATACATTTTGATGCCATACAAACAAGAGTTAACCCTGAGTTGTTATTTGTCATAACGTCATGCAATGGTTACATACTTTTTTTCTAAAACATTGCTTGTGAGCTTCTGCTATGAATTATAGTGCCTTATATTTTAAACCCACTAAGGTCTTAAACGGATGTAGAATATGAGTTACGATCACACCTCATTTCTCTTCACTTCATTTCAAGCAACCAGTTGTATTGAGTCCTATATGAACTGAGCGCTTCTTCATTGTGGTTTCCTGTAAATAGGTGTGAAATTTACTACATCGACATAATTTTTAAACAGAAGCAAAGACTCCTTGTGTTCCTGTGTTGCAGTATAATTAGTACTTCATTATGATCTCCTATTGCTAGCCCACCATGTTCTGTCTACTACACATGCTGTGTTTTACACTTTTTGCTGCGCTCAGGGACACAGACCGTTGTAAGATATAATTAGCCAGAGGTTTGCTTTGCATGTGTATCCATTTGCATTTCCACTGAAGATTCGTGTTGCTGAGTTTGCAGTACAGGTTTAACTTTGTGGATTTACTAAAACAAATCCACTGTGGAAAAAAATAGGGCAATTTGTGAGCAAAAAGGCAACAGCTCTCCACGCATATATAACAGTCCAGCAGGGTATATAGTTATTTATACTGTGCAACCATTAAATCATTATTTTCTCTTTTTGTTAATACAGCAAATTTTCTGTTCAAAATAAACCACTTTGCATTTTTTTTTTACATTTTTGCTTTTTATTAAATTACTAAGAAATGCTGTACAAACTAATTAGATACATATGTAAATAATTCTCATTCTCACCACCAGGTGCCAGTAGTTACCTGTATAAAGTTATCCTTGTATTGTCTTAGTTATAATCTTATATATTTATACCTAAAGGTATAAGGTAAATAAGAAATATATAAATTCATTTGGGCTTAAAAGATAAACATCTAAAAAGATACTTTGACTATTACAAAAGCAAAACAAACAAAGAATAGCATATAATGATACACTGATTCTGAAGGTCAATATGAACAGGGATCTTATGTGCTTTGAAATGTTTTTTTGTTTTTTTACTGACATGACAAACTATGGTTGTAAAGGGGGACTGTACCAAGCAAATGTTGTAAGCCAACTGTTTGTGCCAAGTACAACTGAATCTGTCAAAGTGACATATTCTATCCTACATGGTCTTACATTTTGACATTTCAAGAATTATTTTCAATAAATAAATTATATGTCGATGTTGACTTATGTGTGTGCGCTTGTGCAGCTTATAATATGTCATTCTGTGAAGTAAAAGAAAAATGTGGGGAATATAGCTTTTTACATTTAATGATCATGTCATATGGTTGGACACACTCCTGTTTTTGTTCTTTTTTAAATATAAAATATATATAAAATAAAATATATATATAAATATTAAATATCGCATAAATCATGAAGAAAAATGTGAATAAAATCAATGCATTTGGGTTAAAAGCACTTGTGGCAATACTCTAATTCTGATACAACTTCAGAATAACTACACCTTAAATAGCCTTACTAAAACATGAGCAAAGGATTTATTCATGAAGAAAATAGTTTATTAAGAATGATTATGCTCAGTATACTGTAAATATTACTTAATACACCAACTCCTAACCCCTTTAATAAGTAGTTACTAAACTTGAATTATTTTTAATAAACTATATTTTCTTTATGAATTTGATTGTGACTGAAGTATTTGTTTTATAAGGGCTAAAGGTATGTAAAGTGCTATTACAAAGTGTTAGCATTTTAGTTGTGTTTCACCCCTGTTCTGATGCTTCTGCAAATGCATACAGAAATGGTCCTGTAGCCTGTCCTATAGTCTTTATTTATGCAAGAATGTAGATTGGCTTACTTTATTAAAGACCTGCTGCTGAACATGCTGTCATTACCAGACGCTAATCCCACCTTCAATTTGCTCTAACCTTTTCCAATGTACAGAGCTTCATTTCTTTTTAATCACAATTGATGAGACGGCAAGTAATCAATTAGGTCCGCTGTTACAACTGTGCACCAATACCTCAGAAAGAGACATCTTTTTAGTCCCTTTGGTCCCCTTCGGTTGCCTTAGTGCTGCTCTGTGGATATTGCTGTATCCATTTGAGCTGTGCCCGGAGGCTGGCCCTGTCACGGCTGATTGCGGGAGATATGCATGGTTAATGTGATTTGGCCTCCCCGGGACCTGGATGAGTGAATGGTCGCTGCAGGTACGGAGGACCGGCTGGACTGGGGCCTCACATCGCCAGGCGGAGGTAAAGGTCAGCGGAGACAAGCCGCTGTGAAACTGTTAAACTGAAGTGACACCGGGAGTGGCCCCTCATGAGCAGGTGCCCCGATGCTCACAGGGCAGAGGAGAGGGCCAGGCTCAAGCCGGTTGGCATTTGGGAGGATTTCACTCACGGCGTGCTGTGGGAAGAAAGAGTGGGTATAGTCTTTTATCTTTAGACTTTAGGGTGTCAAAAAGTCAAGTTTCTCTTGCAGCCTGTTTGTTCCAGTTGCTTTAAGCCTACATGCTGTATAGTAGTAACAGTAGTAGTAGTAGTTGCTGTTGTAGTAGGCTTAGCAGTAAAAGTAGTAGTAGCAGTTGTCGTTGTAGTTATAGGTGTTGTAGTAGTAGTTGCAGTTGTAGAGGGGGTAAAGTCAAGTTTCTCTTTAATTTGCTCTGGTTGCTTTTTGACTTATATGCTGTGTAGTAATAGTAGTAGTAGTAGTAGTAGTAGTTGTAGTACTAGTAGTACTACTAGTACTAGTAGTACTACTAGTACTAGTAGTAAGAAACAAATGGAACTATGAAAGTTTTCAGGTGAAGGGTCTGAAACTTCTTTGTCTCCATGAAGACGTTATTGTTTTGCCTGGAATTGTCATAAAACCATCTCCATGGAAAGACTAGCACTCTTGTCTCACAGCAAGAAGGTTGTGGGTTTGACTGCCAGACAGGCCCAGTCGTTTTGGTGCAGACTTTATCCCCAGGCCCTTTGTTTTTTCCCCATCAACCCAAAACATGCACAGTAGGATAAATCCTCCAGCTAAGGTAGTCCTGACCAAACCAGCTCAAGATGGGCTCCTGCTCCAGAGAGGTCTCCCCAGAGGAACTGAAGGACATGTCAAATGCTGAGGATGAATTTCTCTGCATAGATAATAAAGTATAACGTTAAATACTTTCTATTATTGATTACTCAATTACTTACTATTAATATTACTCAACACTTCTTAACTTTTGGTCACATAAT